AGGGGGATGATCGCACCACGTTGTGTTAAAATGGTCAAGCACCCTCGAGGCAGTTACGTAGTGCTTACAACTGTCTCAGGAAGTGAAACACCAGAAAATAAATATTGGCATACGCAGCTGCTCATCCGTACGCAAGGAAGTAAGCACAAGATGCCGAACACCCTTAGCAGGATGCAGCGCACCCTTCATGCGACTCGCCGAATATCTCACGGCGCTTCGCGCTTGGTGATGTGAGAGCCTGGTCCGGTGAGAACCCGGCGTGCTCCGTCCCGGCTTTGTAGGGATGCGAGGTCAATGGTCTAACGACTACGGCATGCACGACTATGAGTATGAGTACACCATACACCCAGGTAGTAGACGGGCCGATAAACAGTTAGACCTCGAGATGGGAAGTTTTTCAGGGCGAAAAAATGTCCTTAGTCGCTAGCCGAATAGACTTTTTAAAATATTTTCCAACCAATCAAAACAGCAGGATGGGCGGACACGTCACAATATTTTGGACAAGCCCGAGACTTCTTTGTCACCACATGCACGAGCTGGGTACAGCTCACTCTCTGTGCATTTCCGCCTGCCAGAAGTCCGGTCACGGCACCGCCGAATGCTACACATCCGCTCCTCTTCGTTTTCCAGCATCCGCGCTTGCTTCTTCGCTTCTTCCTCTGCCGATTTTTGCTTTGCGGCAAGCTTGCGCTTCACCGCAGCCGCCTGTTTCAGCTTGTTGACGTGAGCGACGCATATTCGCTTCAAGGCAGGGTTGTCCTTGTCCTCGAGAGCCTTCAAGCGGCGCGCATCAACTCCCGCTTGCGAAAACGTGATACCAGTTCGCGCCATAACGTTTTCGCCCTGTTCCTTGAAGCTTTTTTTTCTCCTCCCCTTTGTCCATTTCTTTTGCGTCCAGCGGTGCCCATGAGAGGCTTTGTGGCGTTTGCAATCTCTCTACCGCAACAGCTAGGATCGGGATGCGGTTTGTTGCGGTGTGTGCGCAAAACCCAAAGGAAGCGATCACCCGGTTCAGTTTTTCGAACTCAACGGGAAAAAAACAAGAAACCTGGCCAAAGGCCTTTAAAATCCAGTATAAAACGTATGTTCTCAGTCTTCCGGGGTGCGGACAAAAAATCCAAACCGGGTGATCATAGAGTGTGATCTGTAGACAGGTGTTGTAAAGGTTGAAGCGCTAACTCTTCACCTGGGGCCAGCACTTTTGATTGTTAAATCCCGGTCTCAATCCAAGATAATAATATTTCGGCCACCGAGTCAGGAAAAAAAAATGTTTTTTGGGCTGGTTGTTAATGCCGATATTTAATGGTCGTTAATCTAATCTCGAGGTCTAACAGTATTGTTGAAATTCAACTATTATAGTCTACTATTATCTATAAGTCACGCCTCACGTACCTTCCGCGGCAGACCATTCAGCGACCCACGTGTCTCCCAGCTGCTGCAGGAGACGAGAAAGCTCTTCATATTGTGGCTGACGACCAGACATGATGACGGGTTCTCCTCTGTCGTCCTGTCTCCTGGCCGGCGTTGTGTTCCTTTCTTTGCCTCCGCGCTCTATGTGCCTTCCGTACCGCGCCGCGTTGTGGGTAGGATTACGCCGGCAGTGGGCAGTATCGACAAGGTTAGCTCAAGAACTAGACAAACTCCTGCTTGCAAAGGAGGAACTCGTCAAGATCCAGCAATGACGGGCGCGGTGGGGCCCCTTCTCGGAAGGGAGGGCAACGAGAGAGGAGTATGTCTTCCTGGAGGAGGGAGGGGGACACGGCAAGCGTGGCGGGCTTTTGGTAATCGCCTCCTATTGGTCAATTCCGACTTTTTCTGATTCCGCCGCATATGCATACGACACCAGTCCTGTTGTCCCGTTTGGTGCACTCGCGTGCACTGGTGCACATGGAGCAAGCGAGCGAAGAGTAGCAACTGCAAACAAAGTTAAGCACCGCTAGATACCACCCTTCCCTCGTACATTTGTGGGTGGTGAGACGCAATGGGGGCTGTGGACAAGACGTGGACAAAGAAGGAGCTTCAGGCGGAGTGCAAACGTCGCGGAATTGCAGGGTACTCGCGCTTGAACAAGGCCTCGCTCCTTCGAGCTCTTCAGACAGGTGGGTGCCAGCAATGTAGCCACAGCTTTACCTGGCGTTGCTTTGATGCGTTGCTTCTGATAATCCTCCTGCGATGCTATTGGCCGTCGACTTCCTAGATTGCAGAATATATACGTAAAACTGCTGTAGTAGTAGATGCTCGAGAAGCTGCAGCAGATTTACGGGGCATTGGGGGTCCTGTGTCCTGCCTGTTTTGCGAATTCGTACTACTGGATATTGTATATTGCAGATATATCATCTCCATGTTTTACCCTCGCCCATGTTGCGCGCTATTGCTGTGTTCGTCCATGCAAAAAATAGAAAGATGCAAGCGATAGCGCTGGTGCTCTTGTGACTGCTTGCGTTTCGCTCACCCGCGTCTACTGCTGTTCATACTGCTGGCTAACGCCAAGCCGTGTTGTCGCGTACGTTGTCAAGGCAGGGAACATACAAAGCAAGGGGCCCGCTGATCTTAATGTGGCAGAACTACGGAAAGAATGTCGACGGCGGGGGCTGCAGGACGTCTCCAAGCTTAAAAAAGATGAATTGATCCGGTTGTTGAAAGGCGAGTGCCCGAAAAGGGATTCTTTCAGAAGGTTGAAGTAGTACAACCGTGTACGGAAGACATCTGTATTTCGCATGCCTACAGAAAAAGGATGATGCCCAGGTTAGAGCAACCACCTTGGCGTGGGTTGTGTTTCAAGGGGCTGATGACCAAAGCTACGCGTCTTCCTCGCTGAATCCGTCGGCTTGCCCCCGTCCCCCCCTCATGGCGCACTTCTGCCACATTCTGCAGAAAACAAAAAAACTTCTTCCGGCAGCGGCACTACGCCGGGGGAGGCGAAGCCTCGAGAGGCTACGCTTGAGGAGTTGCGCGCGGAGTGCCGGAAACGCGGAATGACAGGCTTTAGTCATCTCAAGAAACAGGAGCTAATTCGAAGGATGGCAGGTGAGACAAAGGGCTAGATAGTGCAGATGCAGAAGGCCTGCCGCTTACACTCCGGGCACGTTGGGATTGACTTTGCGGCCAAACCTTCCGACCGAGCAGACTGCCAAGTCATTGCCCGCCCGTAGCATCAACCGAAGTGTTTCCCTTGTTCGCGGCACATCGTCTCTGTCTCATGTCCTCGCGACACCTACTTGTCGTTACCTGGAAACAACAACATTGAAATCTCTGGATCTTGACGGCTAATGACTTCGGAAATACAACGACGGCAGACTACGAGTCATCGGACAACGGCAGCAAGGGAGTCAAGGCATCGGCGGCTGTAGCCCAAGGAGGAAAAGCGACGCGAATAAGGTTCCTGGGGAGGGGAGGGAAAGAGAAACAGCAGCAGCGCGTTCGAATGAAAGGTCCGCTGCGCTCGAGAGCCCAGGAACGTTTCGACGCCGGTCCTTCTCCCCAAGATACGCCGGGCTTCCTCTACATTTACTGCGAGTCCGGCGGCGGCGGCGGTGGCGGAGGCGATAAGACAAGAGAGTGGAAAATCGGCAAGACCACTCTAGACCCGCCAGAGAGACGCATGAAGCAGTCCGCTCACAACAACAGGAAGACTTACACGCTCCGGGCGTCCTGGCACGTTCCGTGGTGCGGGTACGTCGAGAAGATCGTGCACCTCGATCTCGACGACCTGAAGGTGGTCCCGGGCAAGGAGAAGAGCTGGGACGGTGGCGGCAGAGAGGACGGGGGGACGGAGTGGTTTCGGGCCGATATTGAAGTCGTCGAGGCCAGGGTGAAGCTCGCGATCCGGATGGTTGCCGCCCGCGAGGCAGACGAGGCGGACTTGTTGGGAGTGCAACCGGCGTTCTGTGGCATGTTCCGGTGCGGCCTTCCCATCCGGAGGCGGCGGCGACACGAGCCCAAACTTGGCACGAGCTGATTTCGAGTTGCACATATGCTTGTTTTCGTTTGAGGGGCTGATCTGAAGTTAAGAAAAAAAGAAAAAAGAAAAAAATGGAACGTATCGACAGCGACGCGTCGCGTGTAAATTGTGGATTGTGTATTTATTTATTTTTCGCGCGGGTCGGGCGGTAGACCTTGTACGATACGATTGGTATGACTGGTGGCTCTCGTGTTTGGGTAAGTCTGTCTATATGTCAAGATGTGTAGTCTTACCGGAGAAGATCCGTTTGCTAGATATCGTTATCAGGAAGGCTGCACTCAAAAAACGGCCGTACTTTTTCGGCACAGCAATGAGTGCTGTGAACTTGGAGTCGACTGCTTGAGATTTGCGGCTAAATACTGCTCGAAGTAGCATGTTATCACACAACACACCATATTACAGTCTATGGGTACACGCATATTCAAATTAACTCATTCCCTGGCAACGAAGCTTAGCGCCATTCGATCGAATGACTTACCATATTAGGCAGGAGGAATCGGACGAGTGCTATTCTAGGAGTCTACGCAGGGTTTTCTCAGTATAAGCAAATACTGACTGGAGAAGTTAGCATCGGCTGAAAGTTTGGGTTGGAGTTGGGGTTATGTAGATCCACGAGCTTTGACGAAAAGGAAACGTTTGGTTTCTCGTTCAGACTTAAGGCCATGTTCGATGCGATGCAGAATGTCTTGAGGGAGTTGGTGTTTTGAGGGTCAGTCTGTGTCCCCCATGTGACGGGTGAGCCGGGTCGACGGTCGTGAGTGGTGCGAACACGAACGGGCCGACGAGTGGCGTCGTTCTTGTTGGGCTGATGTACGCCTGCAATGAAGCTCCAGTGCCAACGTTGACCCGCGTCGTAGAGTGGTGACGGCGAGGGCGATCATCGGAGAGGCACGCACGTCCGTTCGATCGCGGCTAGAATTTTTCCCGGCCTGGGGTGCTGGGAAGAAAGGTGGATTGGGGCTCGAAAGGTGTGTCGCCAACCGCAGCATCGCTCTGGGCAGGGGGCGGCAGACCCCCCAACGCATTTTTATTTCATGTTTGACTGCCTGTCTCGCTTATGGGTTGATATTACCTTTGAGTGCATTCGGACATTTGATGGCCATGACGACAGGGTGCGGCCGGGGGCAGGGGGGGGGCATGGGCGGGAGTTCGAAGCCATCAACCGGTAACCAATCACCGCTTTTTCTCGCGACTGTTTCAGTGAAGTCGTTCGAAGTACTGGCGTGTGGTCGGGTCACTCTATTGTCGGGGCACATGTGCAAGGCGGTGAACGCCTGCAGGACTGAGGCTATGGCGCAGATCATGCGGCATACCACCCACCGCCAGCTTGAGCGGCGGACAACCGAAAACAGACGTTGGAATCGCAACACCAGCTCTTGGAAGAAGGAGCTCTTTGAAGCGCCGCATTATTCAGAGGCGTACCATGGTTTTGATAGTGCGGGTCGTATAGCTGGCACAGAAACAAGGGCTGCCGCCTATCGTCCATACCACGGCACCACCGTGTACCCGAATGGGACCAAAGCACGCCCACAAAAGCGCACATCTCCAAGGAAAGGAGTCTCCGTGTCCCTTCACCGCGAGGCCACAACAACATGTCGCTCTCTGTCTTCTCTCTCCCCCTGTCTGGGACCTGGACAACAACGACAACCGGCAACCAGCAGCCGACGAATCCCTCAGACACTCACAACAATTGTTCAACAAACGACATCGCAGCAGTGTCCTACTGTGTCCCGCCGCTCGTGACCGTGAAGAGACGGATTTTCTGCCCGTCGAACATGGGAAGATCCTGGTTGCGCACGAAGACAACTCCCCACATGAAGGCCGTGAACCAGATGGCGGTGTGCTGGTTGGGGTGGTACTTCCGAATCACGATCGGGTGCGGCACTGGGAGAAGTCTGGAACGAACACGGAGCATATGACGAGCGAGAGAGTGTAGTGGGCATGGGGAAGGGCGCTGATAGCGTACCTACCATGGGTGCGACAACGCTCGCAAGCCGAAAATGGACGCTTCGCTACGCCTAGCCAGTGTATACCCCCCCCTCGTACGACCCACCACACATCACCAACAGCACAGTACTTACCCGACCATGGTTGTGTTGCTCACAAACTCGACCATGGTGTTCTCGTCCAAGCCGTTTGCCTCCTGGCACATGTCGTTCACCTAGTTGGTATGACCGGACGGACACGGAACACGGCCGATGAACCACTACAGGAGGGACAGATTTAGACACCTGCACTACCCACCACCAGGAAAGATCGGCAGACAGTTTAGGTAAATTGTCGAGGTACCGCTTCTGCGATCCGGGGGGGGNACCATTGACCTCGCATCCCTACAAAGCCGGGACGGAGCACGCCGGGTTCTCACCGAACCAGGCTCTCACATCACCAATCGCGAAGCACCGTTAGATATTCAGCGAGTCGTATGAAGAGTGCGCTACATCCTGCTAAGGGGGTTAGGCATCTTGTGCTTACTTCCTTGCGAAAGGATGACAGCTGCGTATGACTTAATATATTTTCTGGTGCTTTCACTTCCGAGACAGTAATAAGCACTGTTAACTGCCTCGAGGGTGCTTGACCAATTTGACACAACGTGGTGCGATCGTCCCCTTTGCGCGGAGTGAGGGTTGTCGACCCCGCACCACATAATCTGCTTGACCACCATCACGGTTACCGCAAAAAACAAAACAGGCAAAAAAAAAAACGGTAACCTGGTTGCCGACCTCACGAAGTGAGTCAGCTTGTTTTACAACGACATTGACAGCGACGAAAACCCAACCCCGATGGCAAACATTGAGGGGGGGGGGGGGGGAAAA